ATGTCCCGCTCCTCCCTGACCCAGACATCAAACACACCCCCAGTTCAGAGAAGGAGTCTCTGCCAGTTGGTGTCTGGCATAACCTTTCCTTGTGGTCAGAACTCAGCCAGTGGGAGCCACAGCACAGCACATAGCTCTGGCCCATGAGTCTTTGCTAGTTTCCTGCCCATGTGGACCCAGGAAGGGAGCACAGTAGGAGTGGGGGATTGGGGGGGGAGACACAAGATGACTTCTCCAGGGTGGCCTTGTTAAGAGCATCAGGCAGGTCCCAAAGATGACTTCCCAACCCCAGTTGTGAAGCTACACTGTGTAGGCTACAGGCTGTGTGAAACCTAACTCAGTAGAGAAGCATTTTAAAGAAACTAAACCAGAGAGGAACCCGCACAGTTGTGATCCTGAGAGCAATGGGCAGAGTGTGAAGTCAAACCCTCAGGGAGTTTCCTGTCTCTGCTGTGTCCTGTGCCAGGCCTCTGAGACAAATGTCCCAAAGTGGCTGAGACAACAGAGCTGTGTTCTCTCACAACATTGAAGACAGAAATACACCAGAATGAATATGGTGGCTCACGCCTGTAGTTCTAGTCCTTGGGAAGTTCAGGCAGGAGGATTGCCATGAGTTCCAGGATAGCCAAAACTACATATTGAGACTTAGTCTCACAGAGGAAAAAAGGAAAAACAAAATCAAAACCAAAATATGCGGAGGCCTGTTCCCTAAGCCTGTGGGGGAGCCTGCCTCTTCCAGCTCCAGGTGACTGCCAAGAATCCTTGGTCTGTAGCCACACCTCTCCAGTCTCCTCCTGTCTTTACACAACCTTTGTCTCAGGACACATCTAATCCTTTCTGTCTTCCCTCAAAACACATCACCCCATACACGTCTTTCTCCTTCAGTAACCCTGGCCTCTCACACACTTAACAAAATACTCCACAGCTGAACTCATTTCACCCTCTGCTTCTCTCTGATGAGGACACCTGTGACTGAAGGAAACACTGTGTGGATGGCCGGAATCCTGGCAAGATCCTTAACTCCATCAGATGTTGAGACTGACTGAGCCCTCTGACCATGAGCTACAAGAGAATCCTTCCCGCTTTTTTTGGGAGGGGGGGTTCGAGACAAGGTTTCTCTGTGTAGCCCTGGCTGTCCTGGAACTTACCCTGTAGACCACGCTGGCCTCGGACTCAGAAATCCACCTGCCTCTGCCTCCCAAGTGCTGGGATTAAAGGCATGCACCACCACCACCCGGAGAATCCTTCCCCCCTGAACTTGCCCATGTCAGGTCACTTAATAGAAGCTACAGAAAAGTAACCAGTGACAGACACACTTCAGATTTCACCAGTTAATCTGATCTGGGTTCATGATCATGTCACTTCAGGTGAGACAAAGCCACCTTCCAGGTGTGGATGGAGCTGTGAGCAACTGCTCTGTGTTTTGGGATTCTGTTATGATCTGACAAAAAAAAGACCCCCTTAGTCACCAGATCTGCTTAAACTTGGGGAGGGGACTTCTCTGTCTAAGCCACTGAGAGTGATGTGCTTTGGGAGAAGGCTAGACCAGCCACCTGGAGGTCCTGCCTGGCTGGAAGTGTGTTCAGAAAAAGTTCCAGAAGTGGGGTGTTCACAGGCTGGACCAGACACTTGCCTTTCAGAAACCACTGGGTACTTGGAAGCAGCTGAAAGCTTAAGTAGGCTGGGGCAGGGCAGCAGGAGAGAGGAGTCAGGGTCACAGTCATAGGAGGGTGCAGCTCTGCGAGCCCATAGCCCATCTTAGCAGTTGCTGCCTACGAGGACTATATGGCGGGTAACGGAGCTCATTCAGCTTTTCCATCCCAGGGCAGCTCAGCAGGCAGGCACGCTGGCGGGAGAAGGTGTCAAAGGAGAACTTGCCATGGTACCTGCCCATCCCGCTTGATCCTGTGGGCAGCATAGGACATAGGGTTAGGCCTTCAGTGGACAGTTGAGAAGATATCGCACAGACCTGGCTCTGACAAGGGGGCTATTTGAGCCTCTGTTTCCCAATTTGTCCAGTGGGTTAAATAAAGCACTGTATGTAAAAGGCTGAGCCCTGAGCCAGCACCAGCACCAGCTTACCAGGTGCTGGTGCAGAATAAGCAGACAGTGGCCAGTGGATTCTATCCTGAACCTAGGCTGCTGTGGTGGGAGTCAGGGATGGATCCCAGCTTTGTCCTGAATAGCTGTGCCACCCTGAATAAGTGACTTTGCCTCTGTCTTCCATGATGGTGGCACCCTTCTTCTAGGGCTGTGCTACAAATTAAGTGACTCTTCAGACACAATGGAGTCCCACTGTCTAGGAAGGGACAAGGATCCAGCCAGGGAAGTTCTGGGGAATGGTTTGGTTAAAGGGGCCATTGTTGGGAGCCGACTCTGAGAGAAAGCGGCTATCATCTTTGCAGCCATCTCGAGCCATATACCCTGACAAGAGACTTGTTTTCAACAGCCCGCAACAGCTGAGCACACTCTGATAAACATCTTGTTTTTCTCCCATATCTTGTTTTGTTGTTTAGTGCCCCCAGCTGCAAGGCGCACGTGGTAAAGTGTCTTCAGCTGTGTTCTCCTGCTTGCGCTTATATAGACCCAGGATTTCCTTCAATAAAGGAGACTTGAACAGATTCTCTGTCTTGTTTCCATTCTTTGTATCTTTTGCCCTTCCATCCCCACTCTCTCTCTTGCTAGACCCTGACCCGCAGACTGGAGCAGCAGCTCGGGCTGGGTCAAAGTGGCCCCTAAACGTGGGGCAGAACTGGCTGATACAGGCCATGAAGCTGGGATTTCTGGAGTGAAAGAGGCCAGACAGTTGTGAAGTCAACCAGATGAATATTGTGGGTAAAAAAACCAAAGAATTCAGGCTTGGGGGCAAGAGCTTTGGCAGTTGGTGACATGTTGGCTGCCACAGCAGACAGAACTGAGGGAGAGAGAAGGGAGCAGGTCTTGAGACAGACCAGGAGGGACCAGGCTCATCTGTCACTCACTCCACTACTGAGAATTACCGGGTGGAGGGAACAGGATAGCCTTTCAGTAATGAAGTGGGCTCAGAGGGAAAGTGGCTGCCAAGGTCACCTCTGCTTGTGGGGCTTGCATCTCCACATCCCAAGCATCCTGGAAATGGAAGTCTCCAGGCCTATGTCTACAGGGACATGAGAAGGTTGAAGGGGCAAGTATGCAGCCCCATCATTAGAAAACACCCATGGTGATGTGGGGGATGGGCGGCTGAGGACAAGTGTTGCTTGATGAAAGTCAAGGTGCTTGGTGGCTGGCAGCCACAGGCGGGCTTTCTTAAAACTCACAAAACAGCCACATAAAATTTCCACCACAGACTGTAGGGAGGTGGGAGAGAGTCAGGCTAGGTGGACACTGTCAGTGGAGAGGGGCTTCCACTCCTGCCCGATGCACTGGGCACTGAGGGTGGAGCGCATCCTCTACAGTTAATGTGGTGAAGTAGCAGGATGGGGATGCAGGTGGGGATCAGCCCAGGAGGGCAGAGCTCTGCTGCTACCTACCCACTCCTCCAAAAGGAAGGCTGGACAGGGTCATGTGCATGAAGCCATTGTTCCCGCAGAAGCCCCCGCTACTGGTCCGGGCCAACACCTGGTTAACGACCTAGGAGAGAAAAGACACAAAGCACTCCTGGATGGACCTTGTTTCAGTGAGGGCCTAAGGTTCAAGGAGGAGATCTGATAGGACAGACTCCTGGACCCCTACACTGGTAACATGTTCCCTGTGTGTCAGCCTGAGAGTGGCCCCGGCAGAGTGTTGAGACAAAATCCTAAGGAGGAATGAGGCTAGAGACAGGCAGAATGCAGGCAGAGTGAGGTGCCAGGGGTCATGGAGGTTTCCCAGGGGAGTGGAATGAGAGGCCTGCTGAGTCTTATTATAACTGAGACAGGACTTAGGAAAGAAAGGAGAGAGACGTGAACACCTTTGTGGGACGAGTTTGGGCCTCTAAGGTCAAGTTTGGGCTTATCAGTCTGACATTGTCCCCAGGAGTTAAAGGTTGTCATCAGCTACATAGGGAACTCAACACACTAACCTAATCTATAAGAACCTGCCTCAGAAAACAAAGCAAACTACACACACACACACACACACACACACACACACACACACACACTGTTTAGATAAATGACTCTGGGGGAAAATCCCCTGCCCCTGGAGTTAGGATCATATCTGCAGATATCTGCAGTAGCCTACTGATCAACATCCTTTGAAGATCTGTGGCATCTCCCACCTCCCCAGAGATCAGCTCAGATGCTTGCCCCAACACTCAGGAAGCTGTGTAACAGCTCCCAGCAGAGAAACTGGTACAGAAGGCCTTGCCCAAGTGACTATTAATCTCCCTGGCCATGAGTAGCTCTCTGGAACTCGGAGGCAGCATTTATCTCTAGGGAAATCTCTCTAGAAACCCTATGCCTTTTATTGAATTGAGAGGAACCAAGAAACTGGGGTATTGCAAAGACCTGGCCTCACAGGCTGAGGCCTAGTGGGGGGCAAAGACACAGGCAGCATAGACGGAGGGAGGGGCATGGGTGGAGGGCCAGCGGTGGTGACATCTGAGGTTCTTTCCTGGTTCTTTGGAACACCCCAGTTTCTTGGTTCCTCTCAATTCAATAAAAGGTATAGGGTTTCCAGAGAGATTGCCCTAGAAGTAAAGGCTGCTTCTGAGTGCCAGAGAGCTGTGCATGGCCAGGGAGATTTCCTGGCTCCTGAGGTTTCCTGGTTCCTGGCTCTGTGTCAGGGCTCTTCATGGGACAACTGAATGGGGGATACATGGGAAATCCACTGCCTTTGTAGCTTTTCCATGAACGTATTCTCAAATAAAAAGTGTATTTACAAAACCAGTGTTATAGGCTCGGGATGTAGCTTAGCTGGCAGAGCTTGGCAAGCTCCTGAGAGCAGATATGATGTGTACCTGTGTCATCACCGAGCTAAGAACACGAAGACAGGGGAGTCATCTCAGCTACATAGTGAGTATGAGGCCTCAGCTACATAAGACCTTGTCTCAACAACAACAAAAAAAGGATACTTGTTCATCCAGGTGTGGTGTCCAGGAAAACCAGTGTGGTCTGGGTAGGATATGGGAAGGGGCCTTCTAAGAGGGAAGGCGAGGACACAGCCTAAGAAGCCACATCCCTGAAATTCTGTGTCTATGCAGGGGGTCCCTGTACTCTCTCCTGCCCCCTACCCCTTAGCCCTCCTGTGGAAACTGCACCCACCTCCGTGCTGTTGGAGAAGGCATACAGCGCCAGCGGCTTCTCCCGCCGGTTGATGAACTCAATGGCTTCATCCAGGCTCCTCACGGTCACCAGGGGCAGGATGGGACCAAAGATCTCCTCCTGCATCACGGGCTCTGTCTCCTGCACGTCCACTAACACTGTGGGGGCTGCAGACACAGGAGTAGACTCAGCCTCTCCACAGGCAGGACTTGCAGAGGGACAGGGGCTGTAACAGGGAGAGAGCCTGGATTCAAGGATGGGGAATCTCAGGGTCTGATTTATGAAGACTCCAGACTTAGTGTCTGGGATTCTGGCCTTATGGGATACGGGACAACAGAGGGTAGGACAGAAGTTCAAACCACACTCTGAAAACCTAGAACAGCTGGAATTGAGGAATCACAGGCAAAGAGCACAGTGTGGGGTTCCTACCACCAAAGCTAGAACTCAGGTGTGGGCTCAGACTTTAGGTCCAGAAAGGCTACTCCTGTATGGAAGGGTCTCAGCCCAGGTAGGCTGTGTGCCAGTGACAGGGGCAGGAGACTCACCAATGTAGCGCTCTCCCTCATCACTCTGGCCCCCGATGACCACACGGCCACAGCCCAGCAATCCCTGGAGCCGCTTGAAATGCTTCTGGTTGATGATTCTGCCCAGGTTGGGGGAGGTCTGTGGGTTGTCTCCATAGAAACGCGTGATGGCATTCTGCAGGGCAGGCACCAACCGCTCCTGCATCTCCTGGCTACACAGCACATAATCAGGGGCCACACAGGTCTGGCCGGCGTTGAAGTAGCGGAACCAGGCCACACGGTTGGCCACTGTCTGGGGGTCACAGTTGTCATCCAAATAGCAGGGGTTCTTACCCCCCAGCTCCAGGGTGACGGGTGTCAGGT